ACAGAGAGATAACTTCAACGACGAGTAAAACAATGTAATTAATGCATCGGGTGCCCGAATTCGAGTAACGTCTTTCGTGCACCCGAATAATGGCTAACGACCAAGTGTAATTGCGCCCTTACGTATCAAAATCTACTTCAAACTATTAATTAAAGATTAACACAGGAGCAACGATTCGCCGTCGCTCAATTTCCCGTCCGAACTCCTGATATCACTTAATCGAGGATAGATGTAGGATGATAGGCCACAGCATCCATTTACCATGAGATGGACTGTTACTCTTACTTTTATAAAAATAAATAATATTTTCTTTCAGAGACCTATGGCGCGCCTTGCAAAGAGACGGCACTGAAGACGCACCAGCCCACGCGTGGGACGGATGGTGTGAAAGAGCCGGATATCCGCTGTTGTCCGCGCGGATATCTGGATCCGACGTAATAGTGAAGCAGGAACGGTAAGTGAAATTATATCTTCCAAAAGGAGGAACACTCAATCCCACTGTATGTTTTTTTTATGTGTAAGGTACCTCAGAACTTTTTTCTGGGTGAACCAGAGCTTCTCGTGGTCCCATATAAATTTTATCATGATCCAACCAGCAGTTTTTGAGTTATCCTTAATAATGCGTATTTAATTGACTTCGAATACGTTGATGATGTTCTCATTTTATTTATATTGAAGTCGGTTGTACAAATTTTTAATTTTATCACTTTTTTTATAAAATAATAGTGACAAACGAGCACACAGTCCATCTGATGGTAAGTGGATGCTGTGGCCCGTAGACATCTACATCTATCCTTAATTATGAATCAAAATGCAGATGCGTTATCACCCGTGAGGGCTTAGATGGAATGTCTCGATTCCAGTAAGAAGGGTCTCCGGTTCTCTACACTCACCATACGAAACACTGGGAGAGCGTGGTCCTTCCCCGGTCGAGCCGACCCATTCGTGCTACAATCGGGAAAAGACCACGCTCTCACGGAATACCAGCGTAAAATAGCAGCTTAACGCTGCTGTGTTTCGTATGGTGAGTGTAGAGATCCGGAGGCCCTTTTATACTGGAAACGAGGCATTCCATCTCAATCCTCACGGGTGACAACGCATCTGAAGTTTGATTCTTAGCTGGAAATAAATGTGGTTGCCTATGGACCACAGCATCCACTTACCATCAGGTGGACTGTGTGCTTGTTTGTCGCCCTATCCTATATAAAAAGATGTTGTTAGGAACTGTGTTAGCTCAAGGGCTTAGCGCTCTCTGTAAATTTAGTACACAGTACTCGAGCAAACCGGGTTCAATCCCCGCCGGCAGCAATGAAATCGGTAATTGCAATTTTAAGTGCTGATTTACCACGTGCTCGGCGGTGAAGGAAAATATCGTGTGGAAACAAATAAAAAAATATATCAGAGACATGTGAAGTTCGCCAACACGCATTGAGGCAGTGGGGCGGTCGCTTCATTGCCCTAAAACCGTCTGCAACCGGCTGGAACTATGTCGGTAGTTAAAATCAAATATTAATATGATTATAGCTTCGTGATGTCAGCGGAACCGCCCGATCCTGAACCGCCAATGATGAACCATCTCCTCACCATGGAACTCCGAGCAGACCTCGAAGAACTATTCTACGAGCCCGGTAAGATACACGATACATTAAAAACTTAAGTTTATGTTATTTTATAATAACAATACAGGAGAATTTCGTATTGTGGAGGACACTATAGGAATTTCTCCTGGTCAAGGACATGTTCTTCACTTACTGCACGTAATCGTAGTCAAATCTAAGACCTTTAAACGAGCAATTCTTGTATATATGTTAATATAAATAAGTTACGTGTTAAATTTTATAAAAAAACGTTGTTTGTCCGCGATGCACTCCTAAACTACTTAAACGATTTTAATAAAATTTGCACACCGTGTGCAGTTTGGTCCAACTTGAGTGATAGGATAGTTTTTTTGCCTATGAGTTACACACAATTTTTTTGCGAATTTAAGGATTTTTAATAGGACATGACAAAGGGTCGTCGTAGAGCCGTAGTAGCTCAGATGGTTAACGCTCGCTGTAAATATAACAGAACGCGAGTAACCCGGGTTCAAACCCCGCCGGCACCAATGAAATTGTTAATTGCAATTTTAAGTGCTGATTTACCACGTGCTCGGCGGTGAAGGAAAACATCGTGAGGAAACCTGCATATCTGAGGAATAAGAAAAAAATATTTCGAAGACATGTGAAGTTCGCCAACACGCATTGGGGCAGCGCGGCGGACACTTCCTTGCCCCTAAAACCCCCCTCAGAAATGAGGAGAGGCCTGTGCCCAGCAGTGGGACGTATATAGGCTGTAACTTTACTTTTTACTTTTAAAGGGTCGTCGAAAAGGGCAGAACAACGTCTGCCTGGCAAGCTAGTATATTATGTATATAATCGGAATCTCGGAAACGGCTCCAACGATTTTCATAAAATTTAGTGTCCAGGGGGTTTCGGGGGCAATAAATCGATCTAGCTGGGATTCATTTTTAGAAAATGTCGTTTTATCTGTGTTTTCAGGCAATGAAAAACTGCTACAATATCGTTACAGTAAGAAGGTAAATTTTGGTAACACGTTTATGATTATAATAGCTCAAACAGAATGAAGAAAAAAAGTCGGACATCCGGTCCTTTTTTTCAATTTCCCTTCTTTTGTGAGAAAATCTATTATTTCCAGCCCTTTTCTTAGTATTTTTTTTAAAAACATGAAAAACTAATTGCATTCATGATTTTTTATTTAAATAACCAGTTCAGTTTTTCTATTATGTCGGTAAGATCAAAAAATATTCATCATATTTCATCAGTATCTAAATATAATTTCCAAAACACACGATTTAAAAAAATACCGAGCAATGCTCGGTCATCTAGGTACTATCGTATAAAGCAAGGTTCGAATTCGAGATGCAACGGATGATTAATTTTTCATATTGACAGTTTTTCAAAGAAGTTCTTTTTGATAATATCTAATTCGTAATGATTTCTTATATTAATGCGAACAAAACATTGAACACAACTACTTTTAGAAGTTTTATCGCGTTTCAACTTAATTTAACTCCAGACGTTAAAAACGATTTGCAGTACGGTCACGGGGGGGAATGAGATGTTTAACGTCCCGATGTCTTGGTGAACCCGGAGAACTTTCAAATTCAAATTTATTTTTATGTGTAATGAGACAGGATAAATCTTTGAAAAAAAAAAACTAATTACATCCGCTGTATTCAACCCTTAATTAAACAAATGTTATACACTAGTACGTTACGATACATAGGACTTAAGCAGCCAATTGCACACTTTCACACGTTCTATTTACTTAAACGTATGTGCACTTCGCATATTTTATAGTATAAGTGACTTAAATCCACTTTTTTATTGAAAAATTGTAAAATATTAAATGAATATAAAGACAAAAAATCGGCTCATAGGTATTGTAAATTATTTTTATCGAACTTGAATTCACAAAGGTATTGATTTTTTTAGCAATTGTAATGTGACGGTAAATGGTAGTAATATTAATTGTACTTTAAAAATACAGTTCAAGCAAATATACAAAAAATTTGTCAAGTATTTTTTTTATATTTCTTGATCAAATGATTTAATGTTTTGTTTGTAATTAGTATTCTATTAGATGTTACTAATTATGGTTCTATTGTTCTGTATTTATTATTTTGTTTTAATAAGTGTTAAAATTAAAAAAATATTTTTTTATAGGATAGAGTGACAAACGAGCACACAGTCCACCTGATGGTAAGTGGTTGCTGTGGCCCATAGACATCTACATGTATCCTCGATTACGAATCAAAATGCAGATGCGTTGTCACCCGTGAGGACTAAGATGGAATGCGTCGTTTCCAGTAAAAGGGTCTCCGGAAAAAATTATATAATATTATAAATTTTATGCATGACTATGAAATATACAAATGTAACAATTGGCACACGAATTGTTACTAACCAAACACTGAATAGGTAATTCGTCGATTCTAGCAAACCCTTGTATGCGATTTCTGTTTTGATACCCGTACAAGTAGATAATTGGTAATTCACGACGTATACGCATACGCGACGTATACGCGACGTATTTGCATAGACGCATCTGCATTTACATTCGTAATCGAGGATAGATGTAGATGTCTGTGGGCCACAGCATCCACTTACCATCAGGTGGACTGTGTGCCCGTTTGTAACCCTATCCTATAAAAAAAATATTTTTTTAATTTAAACACTTATTAAAACAAAATAATAAATACAGAACAATATAACTATAATTAGTAACATCTAATAAAATACTTTAAATTACAAAAAAAAAACAACATTAAATCATTTGATCAAGAAATATAAAAAAATACTTGACAAATTTTTTGTATATTTGCTTGAACTGTATTTTTAAAGTACAATTAATATTACTACCATTTACCGTCACATTACAATTGCTAAAAAAATCAATACCTTTGTGAATTCAAGTTCGATAAAAATAATTTACAATACCTATGAGCCGATTTTTTGTCTTTATAATCATTTAATATTCTACAATTTTTCAATAAAAAAATGGATTTAAGTCACTTATACTATAAAATATTCGAAGTGCTTATACGTGTAAGTAAATAGAACGTGTGCAATTGGCTGCTTAAGTCCTATGTATCGTAACGTACTAGTGTATAACATTTGTTTAATTAAGGGTTGAATATAGCGGATGTAATTAGGTTTTTTTTTTCAAAGATTTATCCTGTCTCATTACACATAAAAATAAATTTGAATTTGAAAGTTCTCCGGGTTCACCAAGACATCGAGACGTTAAACATCTCATTCCCCCCCGTGACCGTACTGCAAATCGTTTTTAACGTCTGGAGTTAAAATAAGTTGAAACGCGATAAAACTTCTAAAAGTAGTTGTGTTCAATGTTTTGTTCGCATTAATATAAGAAATCATTACGAATTAGATATTATCAAAAAGAACTTCTTTGTAAAACTGTCAATATGAAAAATTAATCATCCGTTGCATCTCAAATTCGAACCTTGCTTTATACGATAGTACCTGGATGACCTGGATGAGCATTGCTCGGTATTTTTTTTAAATCGTGTGTTTTGGAAATTATATTTAGATACAAATTACATACTGATGAAATATGAATAATATTTTTTGATCTTACCGACATAATTGAAAAACTGAACTGGTTATTTAAATAAAAAATCATGAATGCAATTAGTTTAATTTAAATTTTCGTGTTTTTTAAAAAATACTAAGAAAAGGGCTGGAAATAATAGATTTTCTCACAAAAGAAGGGAATCTATGCAAAATGAACTTTAATAAAGTTCATTTTGCATAGATCGGACCATAAACAATAATTTAAAAAGCTGAAGGTACTCCGGGTTTAACAATGACATCGGGACGTCAGTCATCTCAGTCCCCCCGTGACCATGGGTGCTGGAAAGCGCCCGAAACGTCGGGAATTAAAAATAAAAGTAAATAAAAAGTAAAAATAAACGCGATAAAATCCGTAAAAGTAGTTTTAATCAAATATTTGGTAGAATAGATTGTCACAATATATCCTATAACATAGGAGTATATAATGGTAATGTTGTTAACATGTACGAGCGCTCATGTTTTGCTTAATACATAGCATGCAACAATTTTAATCAATGTAAAATATTTCCTTACTTGTTTGAAATACAATGAGTAACAGGATTTAGTTAAAAATAAAATATAGAGAAATAATAATACAATTTTTAGTTAAATGTCAATTCTGAGCATCGTCAATTTCAACACCTAGTAAAAATTCGCATTACTTAATTAAAGATATACTGTAACTATATTACAACAATAATAATTATTTTTACAATAAACATTATCCGATACATAATCTAATTTTTACTAATCCAAGAATTGTTTTACGTTGTAGCGTATTGTGCAGCAATTATCCAAAACACAAAGTGGCCAAAATTATAAATCCATAGGCTTTTTTTTCAGTTTATTTTCAATATGGAAGACCTCTAAAAATAACAAGACATTCGAAAATCTACATTCAATTTTCTTTAAAATGATACACTTACATAACATGGTACAATAGGGCTTCTACTGCAAAAAAAATCTTTAAAATCTGAATAAATTTATATGCTTGAAACATTTCTACTCAACACGGTCCCATTTTAAATATAGCGTTACATTATGACTATTGTCATATAATTGTATTTTTTTTGAAGTCTATCAAAAGTCCACTTCTAAATGTAGGCCTATACCTATGAATTGCCTCGTTGGAGGATTATAATTTTACTTACTTAGACGGCAGAGCCACGCTGCAGCTATATTATGGCTGTAGTACGAATGGTTCAACTCGGTTGGGGTAGGTTCACGCTCTGACAGAATACTAGAGTAAAATAGCAGCCGCTGTGTTTCATACGGTGAGTGTAGAGATCCGAAGACTCTTTTTACAGGAAACGTGGTATTTCATCTTATTCGGACGGTTAGGGATGACAACATATCTACACTTTGATTCTTAATCCAGGATAAACGTAGATATCTATAGGCCACAGTAATAATAATGTCCTCTATTCGTCCAAGGCGGCCTGCCTCAACGGAGACTAGCCATCGGCGCAGGACAGGATTATAGTGCCCAAGTGTATGCACAAGCAAGCAATATGGGACGGTAAACCGACACGACCAGAGAGAGATCAGGCGCAGGACCAACGGCTTTACGTGCTTTCCGAGGCACGGGGGTGAGACACCGCCAACTTCCTGACGCCGGGTTACTACTGAGAATTTCTTAACGGAAAAACTCAATAATTAGGTTTTTTTTTTGGCTCGACCCGGGATTCGAACCCAGGACCTCATGATCAGCAGTCGTACTACTCCAAAATCTAACAAAAATATAATTACAATTTGAATATTTTCATTACAGAAAATTTTACGGAGACCCTTGAAGATGACGTGAACGCTACCACAACAACACCTCAACCCACTACCACTACCAAAAAACCATCGGTAAAGACAACCAAAGCTCCGCCGCCACCCAAATGGGTGATTCCAGTGACTTTTTCTGTTGGTCCTCTTGAAACAGATAATGCAGAAGAGCAGGAGAATATCACGAAGATTTGGAGGAATTCTACAGAGGCTATTCATAACGGGACTTGGTGAGTTCAAAAATATTTCTCCGGCTATTCATACCTGCAAATAAAATACAATATACATACTATAGGTTAAAAAAAACGTGCCTGGTCTGTAATGGTGCTTTTAGGTATCGTGATATGATTCTGTTCCTGTAAACCTTTTCAGAGAATGAATAAAAAGTTTCCCCACAAAAAACAAAATTTAGTTAAATGTGGAAACTTATAATGTTAATAATATGGCGGCCGTCGGGTAATAACACCGCCACGCGTTCAAATATACCGTCACCGACGGCGGTGTTGCAAGATTTTGAAAAATTGTAAATTTTTTGGTAAACTGTAGTAAAAAACATATATTTTAAACATGTTTTTACTACGTTTTTATAATCATTAATACTATAATTATCATAGTAAAGAAACCTACATGTCTCAGTAATAAAATATTTCGCGTACTGAATTTCGCTAACACGCAAAATAACGGGCTTGTTGCTCCACAGCCCTCTGAAAAATTGAGAGGAGGTAGGCCGTAAGAGGTGACTATGGCATTCTCCATTTTTTGTGTTGACTCCTACGATACCCATGGGAAGAAATGGAATGATCGGTTCTCTTAAACTTTCACCGTTACTGTTATCGTTACAGCGCATCACAAGACGACTTCTAAACAACGCCTCTCCCATAGAGTGCCTCATAGGGAGATTTTTGCCACAATGTAACAATATAAACACTCACGCCTGTCACCCAGAGGGGTAGGCAGAGACTACAGACTTCCATTTGACACGATCCTGACACACCTCTCTCGCCTCCTTCACATCCATATACCTACGCATATGCTCGTCGGTTAAGGGTACTCCTAATTTGGCCCGTTTTCAATAAATCGCTAATTTGATCGATACATTTTCACCTAGGACGTCCCTTTCCGACTCTGCCATTCACTGCTGCAACATAAATTTTCTCCACCTGTCTTCCACATGATCAAACCACCGCATATGTGTGTGACAATATATGACCGTATATGACGGTGTACGAATATCCACTACTCCATATCGTCCCGTGGATGTCGTATGTGGCGACAGAAGTAAGAACATAACCCGCTTGCCGAGTGTTGCAACTATAGAAAATATCTCCTCTAATATCTCTGTATAGGCAATCTATGGAGAAAGCTTGTGTTGTTCTATATGTACTGTGAAATTTACAACGAACGCAAAGCCCCTGAGCTACCACATAAAAAAGGGGAATGTTATGTTTTTAGGTACGACATAAACAACGAGATTAAAAATCAGCGCGTCTCAAAGTGGGCCGAGAATGTAACTCATCTGATTTGGATGAACGACACGGAAAGTAAGTGTGAAATCTAAAATGCTATTTTATTAACCGACTTTAAAAGGAAGTAGTAGCATTGAAGTCCCAATTCGACAATTCGACTGCATGTTTGGTAGGGTTCCATAGCTCAAAAGAAAAATACGGAACCCTTATAAGATCATTTTGTTGTCCGTCCGTCCCTCCGTCTGTATGTTCGTCCTTCAAGACTTTTTTTCTCGGGTTTTTTTTTTATAGAATAGGATTACAAACAAGCACACAGTCCACCTGATGATAAGTGCTTGCTGCGGCCCATAGACATCTACATCTATCCTCGATTACAAATCAAAATGCAGATGCGTTGTCACCCGTGAGGACTAAAATGGAATGCCTCGTCACCAGTAAAAAGGGTCTCCGGTTCTCTACACTCACCATACGAAACACAGCAGCATTAAGCTACTATTTGACGCTGGTTTTCCGTGAGAGCGTGGTCCTTCCCCGGTCGAGTCGACCCATTCGTGCTACGACTATACTACTAATATAACTGCAGCATGGCTCTGCCACGTATAAATTTTGGGATTCATCATCGTTATCAATACGGCCCACCAAAGTACACTGTTGAACCAAGGCCTATTTTCTTAAAGGATCTCTTTTGACATAGTTGCTACGGTTGGCAGACGGGTTGTCAAACCGCAGTTTATTGTCTGGTTGTCATTAAGAAGACTCGGCTGCCCATCTTCTAATTTTCATTTTCCCTATGTCTCCTCTTACGGCACCCACAAGACGATATTCTTACACCGCTACTTCATGGGTTCATCTAGTTCAAATTTAATCAAATACTAGAGTCTACGGTAGCTCAAAGACTACCTGGTATGAACGAACCATGTATAGAAGAATAATATACGAGTATATATACTGGATTACCTTTTTTATCATCTGGCAAAAATAGGGGGTAACATGTGAACGGAGTACAAAAACTTTGTATTAAATTAATTAAAATCTATCGAAATTCAAATCATATCTCAAATCAAAAAATATAGGTTCTTTACGAACGGCAGAAAACAATATTTAGTAGGCATCTTTGACCTTGTCACTTCACAGGATCACAGGCATCAATTGTTAAAATTTTTTTTAAAACAATTAAATTTTTTTGTTTTTATTTTATTTTTTATTTGTTTTAATTTTTTGTAAAATATCAGTGCCATAGGCTTCTACTCCGTTCACATGTTACACACTTTTTTACAGACGGTAAAAAGGTCATCCAGTATATATTATTTATTATCTATGATGAGCGACTGGTGATAAGAAATATATTAATTTCAGTGGTAATACCGGACCTTGGCAAGCATAAGTGGGTGAGATACAACGTTGGAGCGAGAGGACTATATAGGGTCGCGCCGCAGGACCACGCTGAAGGAGAGGTTAGTATAAGTAGATTTAAAACCAAACATTTTTTTCGACATGTAATCTTCTTATAGTTAAGAGAACGACACAGCAGACGACGAAGTATACCTAACGCTGTGGTGCCAGTAACAGTTTTGCCTCAATTGATCCCTGTTGAGAAGAACTGCTATCTGCTACCAAAAGGGATTTGTGCTATTACAATCCAGGAGCCCTTCAGAAGGAATAACGATCCTTGGCTTGTACTACAGTGGGTTTTTGGCTAAAAAAAGTTGACGTTAATTTAAAAAAAATACGATAAGCATGACAAATGAGCACACAGTACTTGATAGTAAATGGATGCTATGGCCCACTATGACTTTACCTTAAAAATTTCTTTAATGCTGGCGGGGATATAACCCGAGTTGTTCACCGAATAAAATGTCCACACACACAGTTTTTTGAAGTCGGCTCTTACTGTTAAACAAAAGTTAATTATTTTATCATTTATAATGGATTTAAGGTAATAAGTAGAATGTCATATACATTAAAACTTTTTCTACTATTTTTCCACACTTTGGAGTGAGATTCTTTATAAATTTACTTAGAACCAGTCCTGAAATATAAGTACTATTACATACAAAAAGTATTAATCAGAAGCGGTTTATAGCTGCCCAATAGCGTACCTTCTCCTTTTTTTAAAGTCAAACTTCTCTTTGTACATGCGATAGGAATTGCAAATAGATGCAACATCTCTCTGCAGCACTATTGAGTCGATGATTAGAGCCGCTCTGAGCTGGAGGCGGTTAAGTAGAAGGAACTGGTACTGGGAAACCAGCCCAGAGATGGGAACCGTATTCCATGTGTGGCTGAACCTGCGTCATCCTACATTTATCCTCGATTTAGAATCAGAAAGATGGAAAAGTATCTCTGCTTCTTTTTTTATATATTAGATTGTTTTAATTCTTATTTAAAGTAATATTTTTACTACCTCAAAATACCGTAACAGCAATAAGCCCAGCCTGATTTCTTTTTTTTTAAATTAATATTACACAATAAAAAAAACAAGCACAACAGACTACTTACAAAACTTATTTCGAAGAAATATGCAAATGAACTTCTAGACAGCAAAGAGGTTACATATTCATCCTCGATTTGTTTTAGACGGCAGAAGCTGTAGCGAAACGAGCAGCGGAACTTTATGATAGTGGAGTTCCTGCAGAGAGGGCTTTGCTACTTGACGACGCTTTCATACTGAGTAGAGCTGGACGGTTACCTGCTAGCAGGGCGATGGCAGCAGCTGGTAAGTAGACAAGAAGAAGTAAGTAGTACTACTGTATTATGGAGATATAATGGAGTCCATAATGTCTTTATAGTGTCATAAGAGTTGGTTCAGATAAACGACTAGGAAGATGTACGGATTAGTAAGCTGAAGTGAAAATGGGCCGGCCGTAGCTCGAAGAACTGACAACCGATTGGGGTAGCAAGGTTCTCGAGTGGCAGCCTCGTACTGGTGGGCGAAGTGTGTGGAGGCCGCCCATTAGATGCAGTGTCAACCTGGTAAAACATGCATTAAGTCGAAGGATGCAGGTGGCTCAGGACCGTGCGTTGTAGCATTATTTGCGGCAGGCTGTTCAGCAGTGGACTAGTGAAGGTATGTAATGATGATGATGATGACTAGGAAGATGTTGAAGCATAAGGTGGTAAAGTAATCATGATGAAGTCGTGGTTGCTCAGGGATGAAGAGCAAACCTCGTTCTGTCCCCATTGACTTGAAGTTGTTTATTGCAATTTTGGATGCAATTAATTTACCATTTGGTCGACGGTATCTTTATAGAATGAGAGTCACAAACGAGTGCACAGACTACCTGATGCTAAGTGAATGACGTGGCCCATGGTCATCTATATTTATTCTCGATTAAGAATAAAAATGTAGATGCGTTGTCACCCCTGAAGACTGAAGATGGAATGCCTCGTTTCCTTTATAAAAGGTTTCTGGTTCTCTACACTCACCACAAAAATCCAGCAGTATGAAGCTGCTATTTCGCGCTATTATTCTATGAAAGCATGGTCAAGCCAACTGATGCGAGCTACAACCATAATAATAATGTCCTACAGACTGAATTTCGGCCATGGCGATCCGTCGCAATGGAGACTAGCTATCAGTCCACGACAGATTTATAGTGCACGAGTGTATGCGCAAGCACAAGTACACTCTCACTCTCCTAGTCCAATGAGACGGCCAATGGAAAATAATGTTGCTACTTTACTTCAGTGCGTCTACTAGGTACGTAGCACCACTTGCAGCTTTACAAGGTGCAAATTCTGTCTCACATGGAATATTGTTCGCAACTCTGGGCCGGAGCATTCCAGTGCCAGCTCCTTCTACTTGACCGCATCAAGCGCAGATCGTTAGAATCGTCTACGACAGAGTTCCTTCCGATCGACTCGACTCGTGGCATTTACCACGAGGAGTGCTCTGAATTGTTCAGATTAATTTCAGCCGTTATATTTGACTAACACACCATCTACACCATCTGGATGCATGCCGGTCTACCAATGCGTGTTTTACCAGGTATTTTCTTCCTCGTACAACATCTTTGTGGAATCATTTCCCACCGTCGATTTTTCCGAACTGATACAACTTAGGTACCTTCAAGAAAAGAACTTACTCCTTTCTATAATGTCGGCAACGCATCTACAATTAGTAGTAACGTTGCAGTTGTTCACGGGCAGAGGTATTCACTTACTACCAGGAGAGCCGCGTGCTCGTTTGTCCTCGCTTCTATAATAAAAACATCCACTGGATCCAGTGACGTAGTACCAGTAATAAATGAGATTTGCTATGTTATTCCATCACGTCTATGAACAGTGCATCATTTGCCCCTTTGGCTTAGCACGAATATTAAATTAAAATTGCTACACTATTCCGGCGCATCTACGTACTGACCACTAGTTCCTAAACATAGCACCACTATCAATTTAAAATTGCCACCTTATTCAATCGTGCCTACGTTTCGCGTAGTGTATATTTTCTTTGCCTACGTACTGAACACCACTAGCCGCCGCGGCGTAGCAGTATTAAATTAAAATTTCTACGTTGTCTACTCATAAAAAGTACTAGTAGTCCCCAAGGCGTAGCCACATATACTCAATTTAAAATGGCGTGGCAGTTTAAAACAGGTGCTCGGCGGTGAAAGAAAGCATCGTGAGAAAATCTGCATGTCTTAGAAATAAGAATAAAATTTTTTAGAAGTGAAGTTCGCCAGCTTCCTTGTCCTAACACCCTCTCAGAAATAAAGGGAGGCCTGTGCCCAGCAGTGGGCAGCCCAGCAGTGGGACGTATATAGGCTGTAACTTTAATATCAATAAGATGCTGCTACCAATCCTAACAACAACAAGAAATAAAATACCAATTACGTTATTCCAGCGCGTCTACGTACTGAACACCACTGGGCCCCTTGGCGCGTGGTGCTAACCCACCTGTCTTGGTGGCGAGAACTGCTAAGGCTCTCAGCGTCAGCGCCCTACTTGAACAGGCTGCTGAGTCAGCTGCATCCTGAGGTGGAGATTTACACTCAACAGCAGATAGAAAGCGCTGGACTAACCGAAGATCAGCTGTAAGTAGTTCAGCTTATTACTGTTATTATTAGTCGTATATCATCATAAGCTTATTCGATGAACTGAATACCGATGGTTCCGACGAAAGGTTCCGGAGTGGCAGCATCGTACCGGTAAACTCGTAGGGGTGTGATGATTATGTGATGGTGATTTGTTTCTAAAAAGCAACCTTATATACGTGGTAGAGCCACGCTACAGGTATCTTATGGTTGTAGCACGAATGGGTCGGCTCGACCGGGGAAGGACCGCGTTTTCACCGAATACCAGCGTAAAATAGCAGCTTAAGATTGCTGAGTTTCGTATGGTGAGTGTAGAGATCCGGAGGCCCTTTTTTACTGGAAACGGGGCATTCCATTTTGTTCCTCAGGGGTGACAACGCATCTGCGTTTTGATTCTTAGTCGGGGATAAATGTAGATGTCTATGGAGCACAGCATCCACTTACCATCAGATGGACTGTGTGCTCGTTTATCACCCTTATTCTATAAAAAAAACTCTTTAGATAGGGTTGAAAGAGCACACAGTGCATCTGAAGATAAGTGAGTACTTTGCCTCATAGATATCTACAGCTGTCTTCGATTAAGAATCAAAATATAATTTCGTTATCTAAAGACTATGATGGTTTTGGGTTTACCGTTTTACGAGTAATAAAATAACAGTATTCAAATCAAATCAAATTCATTTATTTGCATAATACAGGTATAAAAGTTGTTACAAAAAATTGGAATATGCGGTGTGCAAATACACTACAATATATACTACGCATTGCTAATTCAATAACGGTGCTTTGAAATAAAATTAAAAACAAGAAGAAAAAAAAAGGAAAAATATTGTCAATAGTTAAGTCTATAGTGCTAATTGTTATCATACTAAATACCTTGATGTTATATAAGCTCAAAATTAAATATTTTTGATAATAGGTATGTACAATTAAATTTAAAATGTTTTCATACAAAATTAAAAGTTAAAATTATAATTTAATACTTACACAATACTAATCTTATCAAATTATTAAATTATTACAATGTGTCACATATAATAGGTTAATGTATAAATTACTTAATAATTCAATTATAATTAAATTCAAATTATTATTATTAAATTACAATTAAATTAAAACTATTGCTATAAAATTATAATACTTTTATCCTCTAGGTACTCTTTGACAATATAATAACATTTATTCATCAGAAATTTGTGTAATATCGTCTTAAATCGTAAAATAGGCAACTTTCTGACATCATCTAGCAGCATCTATTCTGTTCTTAATAACGTGCTGATATTTTACATGTGACTTAGTAAGATGGGTGCCCTTGTTTGAACAAACTGACGCAATACTCGATGTTTTAAATATTTTACTGAGATGAGAAACACTGAACTGGCAATCCCAGTAAACACGGATATTGAAATCAGAGACAAAATGTCCATGAAACTAGTCTCATGATGCAATATAGCTTCAAATAACAGTATACTCATACACGCATATTTCCTCACTTCACAGTTGGCTAAGCGGAGCTCTCCTCACCGCGGGAGTTGAATGGGAGAATGAGAACGTCACCAACCAAGCATTGGAGCTGTTCGATGCCTGGTTCGAACATAACGAAACAATACCGGAGATATATCAAGAGGTAAGTTATTATATTATTACATACATTGTGTGTGTGTGTGTGTGTGTGTGTGTGTGTGTGTGTGTGTGTGTGTGTGTGTGTGTGTGTGTGTGTGTGTGTGTGTGTAATAACGTACGTGGGGGGTAATATGGTCACGTTCACAAAGCAAAGCAAAATAGCATAGTTTGCATAGATGACTCTGTGAAACGCTCTGCATCAACCAATAAAATATTAAAGGGTCAAAAGCGCGCTGCTTCATCGACGCCATTTTGACAGTTTACATTTTAGTAAATATTTTAGTCGATTTCAGTATTGTGTATTTGTGTAGTGTCGTTGTTTTTTTTTTTCAGGTTGATTTTTCGAAGTGTTTCTAATTATTGCCAAAGCTTGTTTGCTATTTTTTTCTTAAAATATTAGTTGTAGTATACGACTTTGTGTTTTTGTACAGACCTCCTCCTTCTAGTTTTGGTTTTGTATGGCGGCAAAGCTTAAAGTGGCCATATTGCCCTCATGTACCCTATAAGTTGGCTGATGAGAAATGTCTAATCTATAATACACGGAGTAATAACTGCTTTTCAATGAGCTAGGGTGGCCATTGCATGCCATTAAGGCACGAATAACAAATGTTTACATTTTCGAAGTGAAACTTCTTTAGAATCGTAATGGTCGTAAAGCGACGTTAAATATAGACAAATATATACATCTATAGGATTTGTCCTACATGAGAAAGATAGAATCCAGTATATAGTTCGTGCCAAATCGATTGAGAAAAACGGACGATAATCTCAGATATGAGCCGAGTGTCAAAAGGCGTAACTGACAAAATCTCAAATTAGATGTGATAACAATATTTAAATATTGATATTATTCACACTTCTAGGTCAGCTTTGTTTTGTTTTTTTGTTTCTTAAATAATATTGTCTGTGGTTCCTATAAACTTCGTAAAATCTTACGGTACATCGCGAAAAATGTGTTATATTTTATATTTCAATTTATGGTAAGTAACGCAGTAATTCATTTAATAACAGTTTCATATTAAAAAATATTTGAAGCAATATAATCACCATATTGAGCTTAAAATAAACAAAACGCGCGTTACGTCAGTTTGTTCTAAAAGAAACGTGACAATGGCAGCCAGAGATGCGTCACTTTTTTGAGCCGGCCCGCATGCACCGAATAAAAATAAAGTTCTTAAATAATATTGAAAATAAAGTTTAATCTTTTGAATAAGTACGTACTTATTTGGTGTCGTTATCACTCGAATCTTTATATGTAACATAAACACTCACGCCTGTCACCCAGAGGAGTAGGCTGAGACTACAGACTTCCATTTGGCATGATCCTGACGCACCTCTCTCGCCTCCTTCACATCCATACACCTCCGCATACATGCTCGTCGGTTAAGGGTACTCCTAATTTGGACCATAAATCCTACAATAAATCGCCAATTTGGACGATAAATTTTCGCCTAGGACGTCCTTTTCCGACTCTGCCATTCACTTCTGCAACATAAATTTTCTTTGTCACTCTTTCCTCATTCATTCTTTCCACATGACCAAACCACCGAAGCATTCCTTTCTTAATCCTGGTCACAACATCATCTTGCAAACCACACTCTTCTCTTATTACACAATTTCTTACCCTGTCATTAAGATTCAGCCCTAACATACTCTTTAACGACCGCATTTCTACTGCGTTCATTCTACTCTCGTGCTTCTTCTGCCACACCCAACTTTCACTACCATACGTTAAAGTAGGGACCAACACAGCATTGTGAATTGCCATACGTGCCTTTTTCGACACATTTTGACTCTTCACAATAGAGTGCAAGGCCCCATTTACTCTATTTCCCACATTCACTCGTCGTTCTATATCCTTATCATATCTCCCATCCCTGCTGAATACGCAGCACAAATATACAAACTCATCTACTTGCTCGATCAACTCCCCTTCTATTCTTATTTCACAAATCGTTTTATTTTCTTCTCTTTCAAAAATCATAACCTTCGTCTTACTTGCGTTCACTTTCATACCCCTTTCTTTTAATGATCTGTTCATTAATGTAACCATCATTTGCAACTCGGCCGCCGACGACGCAAGGATAACTTGATCATCGGCGTACAAAAGGCATTTTACGGTTAACTCACCCATTCTTAATCCGCATTCTTCAACTTTAAAATTTTGCAAACAACTGTCCATAAATAGGTTGAACAGCCACGGGGAAGCCACACAGCTCTGTCTGACACCTTTATGGATGTCAAACCAGTCCGAGTAGACCCCGTTGATCCTAACACAAGCACTAGAGTCCCTATAAGGGGACTCCAATGCCTGTATCAAGCCAGCGCCAAACCCAAATGACTTCAGTGTTTGCCATAGCACATCCCTATTCACTCTGTCATAGGCCCTTTCCAAGTCCATGAACGCACAAAAACCTTTTTTCTTTATATGTGTCATAAATTAATGCTTTTTGTTGTTTAATGAATAAAGTACTTCATAACAATAGATGATTTTTCTTCTACAGTGATCTTTTAATAATAGTTAATAAATATATATTATATCAATAATTTAAAAAAAATCATTATAAATAAAGAAATTACTACATATAAAAAGTGCCTATATATTGAAGGTTAAACGAAGGCCCTGGTTAAACGACCGAAAGGTCAATGTCCGTTTTTCGGCACGAACTATAATAAGCGACAGTAGCCTAATAAGTTTTTTTTTATAGAATAAGGGTGACAAACAAGTACACAGATCACCTGATGGTAAGTGCATGCTGTGGCCCATAGAAATATATATTTATCCTAGATTAAGAATCAAAACGCAGATGCGTTGTCACCCCTGAGGACTGCTATGGAATGCCTCGTTTCCAGTAAAATAGGGTCTCCGAATCTCTACACTCACCATACGAAACACAGCAGCAGTATTAAGCAAACCATAATATAGATGCAGTGTGGTTCTACCAAGCATTAAATTTGTGAAAGGTTGTGGGTTAATTTCCGCCATCAGACTACTGTCGTGTACTACACCTAACACAACCATGTTCAGCTTACTGGTATTGGTTATAGGGAATATTATACTCTATTCCAATTACGAAGTCCCTTTTGACACTTCTTAGAACGTAACTCTTCACGTTTCGCATAATTTGAAATAATAATCATTTTTTGTTCATGGTCGTAAATCATCATTTAAAAATACACAATCAATCTAAATCATTATACAATTAATTCGCACACACAATCAACATATTGTTTTTAGACATCGTGCTCAAAATAATTAAAAATTTCAAAAGATAATAATATTTTACTGCCGTTTTGCGTTTACGTTCTATAGTTTTATTTTTAGTTTTTTACATAGTGACGTGACTAAAAGAATCGTATAAAATCGATTATAGGCAGATTCTTTTCGCGAGTGAAAATCTGTCAACACTGCGTCCACCTCGTGATCATGACCGCCATTTTGTTTGTCTCTTCAGTTTGTTTGTCTCTTCCTATATATAAAAAAGTACTCTGTGGTAAGGTGCAGAAGCCTTATATACGATACGCGTGTTCAGTTTAGTTGATTTTGTGTTGTGTTTTTATTTCGTTCTTGTTATTGTAGTTATAACTGTTTGATAATTTTTTGTTTTTATTATGTTTTGACTGTTATTTGATTTGTTTTTTTTTTGTATTTATAAACACTATGGCCGAAACTGAGACCACTAAAAGAACAGTGATGCGCAGTCAAGCGCGAGAGTTTGTAGTACGCCTACAAGATTACTTTGAAAGAGAGTATCAGAATGGTGATCCATTGTTGCCACTTTCACAAGTGACTAACCGAGTAAGTGCAGCTCTTGGTATTAGTCGAAAAACTGTTTCCCGAATAAGTAAGGAAAAACATGGTAAAGATTTAATGGAAGATTACAATAGACATATTAAAATACAATAGACAAATTAAAATCGCCACTTAAGAAAAAAGTTAGAAGATCGATAGTTACACATATCGACAATTTTGATAACGACGTCATTAGAAACCATATCTATGGCTACTATAGTAGGAACGAATTGACGACTCTCGATAAATTGTCAAATACTTTACGAGAATCTGGACTGTTTCACGGCAGTAGAACTTCTTTCTAGAGGGTTTTAAAAAATGTTGGCTTTTCTTATAAAAAAATGTGATAAAAGGTGGATTTTGATGGAACGTAGAGATATAGCTTTAGCCAGATTAAATTTTCTAAGATCAGCAAAGTCCATTGCCGTTTGGAATAATATTACATTTCTAGATGAGACGTGGCTAAACGCTAATCATACAGTTGGCAAGATATGGACAGACGACACTCCTCACTCCTCCACAAAAGTACGGAACCGGAACGGAGTACGGAACGTAAGGAGCCGGACACAATGTAATGCGCCTTCCACCCTACCATTGTCAATACAATGCCATAGAATTGATTTGGGCGCAAATTAAAGGCAAGAATTTAAACAAATCTTTTTTATAATTTATTTTTACCTCTTTAACATTTTATCTGTTGCTATATTAACACGCAAACCTTTATTTTAGGTTATGCGGCTCGTAAAAATACCAGCCTTCCATTTACTGCAAACAAAATGCTGTCATTGTTGCAAGAAGCTTGTGATAGTGTTACTGCCGCGAATTGGGAAAGTGTGGTTTTACGAACAAAAAATTTAATTTTCGCTTATTGGAACAGAATTACAAATTATAATAAATACAGGGGATTCTACAGACGATGATGAGGGTGATGACGACGATGCCGATCATGAAATATCGATTTCGGCTAGTGATGATGAATATGTTCCATCTTGATAAAAATATCATGTAATATTATCTAATTAAAATTAAAAAAAAAAAACAGTTTTATAAATTTTAATTCGATGCTAATCCTTTATGAGTCACATTCTTTGTCCGCAATGAACTCGGAAACCTAAGAACCGATTTTAATGCAATGTAATTATGTATCTTGCTTGCTTCCAACTTGAGAGATAGGATAGTTTTTATCCCGATAAATGATCCTGAACATTTTT